GGCGGCGGGAGAGGCCCCCTTTCCAGGACCACTTACACCGCCGCCCACCTCTGTCATGAGGTGGGGCCGGGGGGCGCTCTGACACGGCCCGGTGACCACCGGCGCCACCGGGATACCCGAGCAGGATCGTTACTTTCGCGCACCCGCTAGGCGGCCACCTCCTGCGGCATAACCTCTTTGCAGAAGGAGACCACGGCGTCCCAGGACCACTCGCTTGCCAGCATAACCCCGACTACCGCTGGCAGAGAAAAGTCTTTCTCAATAACGTCCATCAAGACTCGGCGCAGCGCTGAAAAGGTGGGGCACACCTCCAGCGTATGCTGCGCCGAGTTCACCACCTCGTCGCAGTGATGGCAAACCGCCGTTGCTTCCGTACCTATTCGACACTCATCGAAACAATCGTGCCCAGTGAGCACCTGTATCATGAGGTAGTCATGGTGCGGCAGAAGAGCCCCGACTGCGCGTTTCTCGGCGTGGAGAAATAACTCTCCACGCCATCTTCAATGAATGCGCCGCCAGGCCTGGAGTTCAAAATTCTCGACCGCCTCAGGCTCCAGCGGGACTCCCCGAACCCGGCCGACAATGCGCAACACATAATAAACATAAGCCCGCACCGCGGTCTGCAGCTTGAACGGTATCTCCCCCGCCAGAACCAGCGCCGCCAACGTGGACGTGGTCCGGTACTCTCTTATGGTCCTTATGGGCAAAGGCCTTTGGTGCATGGGGGACATGGGGGACGTCTGCGACGCCTTCATGCCTCGCGCCGGGCGCCCGTCGCCACGCGGCCAGGTCTACTGATGGTCGGCGGAGATCGGACGGCTGCGCAAGCAGCGCGTGCAGCTTTGTCGGCTATTCACACGCGCCAGACGACGGAGGTTGCAGCATGAGCGTGTTGCGGTAGCGTATCGGGCGTTTGCAGACGCTCGGTTCGCCCTGCAGGATGCCACAGGGAGGGCCAAGTCCCGAGCTTGAGAAAAACTCCTCGGTACTATACATGGGGATCCGTTTGGTCA